CAGGTTAGGGAGGCGGGTACGAGCTGGGCTGGTTTTGGGATGCAGTCGGAGGAGGGGAGATTTTGAAGCTTGTGAAGTCCACTTTGATACCATTGGGCTGCAGGGTTCCCAAGCGAAATATGAGATGCTGTTCCTGCAAGCTTCTGCAGGAGGCCCAGGATGGACATGTCATCCGAGGAGCAGGAGGGGGAGTTGAAATGGTTCATGACTGGGAGGTGCAATTGTTTGGTGAGAACCGAGCGTAGGTGTTCCGCAAAGCGGTCCCCAAGCCTTCGCTTGGTTTTCTGATGTAGAGGAGGCCACAACGGGAACAGCGGATACAGTATACCACATTAGCAGATGTGCAGGTGAACATCTGTTTGATGTGGAAGGTCTTCTTAGGGCCTGGGATGGGGATGAGGGGGGAGGTGTAGGGGCGGGTGTAGCACTTCCTGCGGTTGCAGGGAAAAGTGCCGGGGCTGATGGGGAGTGTGGAGCGGACAAGGGAGTCATGGAGAGAGTGGTCCCTACGGAAAGCAGATAAGGGTGGGGAGGGAAAAATGTCTTTGGGTCGGATTGCAGATGGCGGAAGTGTCGGAGGATGGTGGGGTGGTGCTTGAGGACGAGGGAGATTCTGTTTTGGTTATTATTGCAGGGAGGGGGTGTGAGGGATGAGTTGCGGGAAATGCAAGAGACACGGTCGAGGATGCTTTCAGCCACTGTGGAGGGGAAGTTGTGGTCCTTGAAAAACGAGGATATCTGGAATGCCTCGTCTCAGGTGCAGATGCGGTGGAGGCGAAGGAATTGGGAATAGGGGATGCCTTTTTGCAGGAAGGTGGGTGAGAGGAGGTGTACTCTAGGTAGCTGTGGGAGTCGGTAGGCTTGAAATGGATATCGATTTCCAGGTGGTTGCCAGAGATGGAAATAGAGAGGTCCAGGAAGGGGAGAGAGGTATCAGAGATGGTCCAGTTGAACTTAAGTTTGGGGTGGAAGGTGTTTGTGAAGTGGATGAATTGTTCAAGCTCCTCGTGGGAGCATGAGGCGGCGCTGATACAGTCATCGATGTAACGGAGGAAGAGGTGGGGGATAGGGCCAGTGTAGCTTTGGAAGAGGGATTGTTCCATGTACCCTACAAAGAGGCAGGCATAGCTTGGGCCCATGCGGGTACCCATGGCCACCCCCTTTGTCTGTAGGAAGTGGGAGGAATGGAAGGAGAAGTTGTTAAGGGTGAGGACGAGTTCAGCTAAGCGGATAAGGGTGTCAGTGGAGGGCGACTGGTCGGGCCTGCGGTCAGGAAGAAGCGGAGGGTCTTTAGGCCATCTGCATGGGGAATGCAAGTATGTAGGGACTGGACGTCCATGGTAAAGATGAGGTGTTGGGGACTGGATTTATATGAACAGTTTAGATCAATGTTCTTGCGATGTAATGTAACACAGCAGCAAATGCACAGTAGAAGTATGCTGCCCTTTAGATGGGCTAGGAGTGGATGTTGGCCGTGCTATTTGCATTGATATTGACATTGTGCTCTTTGCATGTAAAATGACAACAGAGATTTAGAGAGCAGTCATTGTAAAGAGGGAGTGGTGAAAAGCAGCAACAATGCATTTACGTACAAGTCATGTCAATGATCACCATGACAACATTCCCGTTGGAAACAACGAGTCAAGTAGGATGTAGCCTACACAAGCATGCCTAGTTAGAGAGAACATTGTAATACTGAAAACCCACAGGCATCAGTAAATATAGATGATCTGTAATACATTACAGCTTTTCATTAAAGTGAACAACATATATTTAGGGGAGGTGATGGCCTAGTGCTATTATCGCAAGACTCTTAATCCAGAAGCTCAACTAATGTTCTGGGACCTGAGTGTGGAATCCACGAGCCCTAGCAAAACTGGAATCAATGGGAATCTACTTGTTGAAGTCAGACCTGGCACAGAGGAAGATAGTTGTGCTTGTTGGAGGTCAGTCAGCTCCAGGACATGTCGGTAGGAGTTCCTCAGGATAGTGTCCTAGGCTCAACCATCTTCAGCTGCTTCATCAATGACCTTCTCCCCATCATAAGGTCAGAAGTAGGGATGTTTGCCAATGTTTGCACAATGTTTAGCATCATTCATGATTCCCAGATACTGAAGCAGTGTATATTTAAATGCAAGAAGATCTCGAAAACGTCCAGGCTTGGACTGACAAGTGGCAATTAATATTTGCACCACACAAATGCCAGGTAATGACCACCTCCAATAAGACACAATCTAACCACCACCCTTTGACATTTAGTGGTGTTACCATTACTGAATCCTGCACTGTGAACATCCTGGGGGTTACCATTGACTAGAATCTCAACTGGATTTGCCACATAAACACAGTGTCTACAAGAGCAGGTCAGAAGCGAGGAATATAAATCACCTCCTGACTCCCCAGAGGCTGTCCACCATCTCTAAGGCATAAGTCAGGAGTTGTCACCCACTTGCCATGATGGGTGCAGCTCCAACAACACCTCAAACAGCTTGACACAATCCAGGATAAAGCAGCCCGCTTGATTGGCACCATATCCACAAGCATCCCTGCTTTCGGTTCCCTCCCTAAAGGTATTGTCAGTCAACCTACAGCACAAGGACTGCATTGGTTCAAGAAGGCGGCTTAACACTATCTTCTCAAGGGCAACTAGGGATGGGTATTATTAAATACTGTCCAGCCAGTGACACCCACTTCCTACAAGTGAATTAAAAGAAGCTGAAAAGTTAAAGTTGATTTATAAGTTGCTTCTGCTGTTTTTGTTTCCGATATTTATTGCAAACTTAATACAATGTATTATGAAGTATATGGTCAATGCTATGTAAACAAGTTTCAAACATGCTTAAGTGGTGGTCCCAAATTTTTATATATTTTGTTTATTTAACTTACAGTGGAGTTGCCTTTGATATAAAACATAATGAATCCCCTTTTCAAAATATTTCATTATTTAGGGCCATAATTACAAGAAGCCATTTTTATGGAGTGTACAGATGGAATTTATCACTGCAATTGCAATCCTGCCAACATAATTTATATAGGATTTTCTCCTTACTGATATTTGTTGCAGTCACTGGATGAGTGTAGTATTTCATTTAAACAAATACATAGAACACAATATGATTGAAGAAACTGGCTCTATCTGACAATAGTGTGCATTTGTGCCTATATGTGGCTAATAGCTAATGTGGTTAACCAATCTGTGGCAGTAGCTTTTTGTTATGTAATTAAGTAGCGACACTGTTCTTATGCTGTCTTAGGTCTGGTCATAGAGTTGTACGGCATGGAAATAGACCCTTTGATCCAACTCGTCCATGTCAACCAAATATCCTAAATTAATCTTGTCCCATTTGCCAGAATTTGGCCATAGCCCTCTCGCCTCTTCCTATTAGTGTACCCATCCAGATGACTTTTAAATATTGTAATCATACCTGCCTCCACCACTTCCTCTGGCAGCTCATTTCATATAGGCACCAACCTCTGTGTGAAAAAGTTGCCCCTTAGGTCCCTTTTCAATCTTTCTCCTCTCACCTTAAACCTATGCCCTCTAATTTTGAACTCCCCTAACCTGAGAAAAAGGCCTTGACTATTCACCGTATGCGTGCCCCTCATGATATTGTAAACCCCTCAGCCTCCAATGCTCCAGGGAAAAAGAGTCCCAGCCAATTCAGCCTCTCCCTATAGCTCAAACCCTCCAACCCTGGCAACATCCTTGTAAACCTCCTTTGAACCCTTTCAAGTTTCACAACATCCTTCCTATAGCAAGGAGACCAGAATTGAACACAGTATTCCAAAAGTAACCTGACCAATGTCCTGTACACCTGCAACATAACATCTCAACTCCTATACTCAATGCACTAATCAGTAAAGGCATGCGTACCAAATGCCTCCTTTTCTACCCTGTCTACCTGCAATTCCACTTTCAAGGAACAATGAACCTGCACCCCAAAGTCTCTTTGTTTGGCAGCACTCCCCAGCACCCTACCATTAAGTATATAAGTCCTGCTCTGATTTGCCTTACCAAAATGCACCATCTCACATTTATCTGAATGAAACTCCATCCACCACTCCTCTGCCCATCTGATCAAGGTCCTGTTGTACTCTGAGATAACCTTCTTCGCTATCCACAACACCATTAATTTTGGTGTCATCTGCAAACTTAATAACCATACCTCCTATATTCACATTCAGATCATTTATATAAATGACAAAGAGCAGTGGACCCAGCACCAATCCTTGCATCACACCACTGGCCACAGGCCTCCAATCCAAAAACTAACCCTCCACCACTCCCTCTGTCTCCTACCTTCAAGCCAATTTTGTATCCAAATGGCTAGCTCTCCCTGGATTCCATGTGATCGAACCTTGCTAGCCAGTCTACCATATGGAACCTCATCAAGCGCCTTGCTGAAGTCCTATTTATTACAACAGCCAGAAGCAAATAAAAACCTACTCAAGGATTTGTAATACACATATCTATATAAATAAAGCAGAAACTCAAGATGATACTGAAATTTATACCCAGCCAAGTTGTAAAATTCATGAATTAATGAATATGTACAGTAGTACACTAATTTCCAATTCCATGTGCAGTAGCCTGGCAGAAAGTCTATTTATAATTTCAGTCCACCTTCACAATTTCCACATCAGTTGCACAACAGGAACTTATAACATGAAGAATGACCTTCTGATGGAAAGAAAATATTGTGTGTTAACCAGTGTTATAAGTGTTATAAACATGCTGAACAGGCTTCTGCATAGGCATTTTGAGTGAAATTATAAATGAATTAGAAAAGAATATTCTTATCACTTTGTTTGAATTCGTGTCAAGTTTAAGGCAGAACACCTGCAGTAGGCAACATGGCAGCCAATCTGAATACAGATAAATAATTGATAATTACCAGAACATTCAGATTCTTTATTTACAACATTAAAATACACATTTCTACCTCATGTAGGCTGCTGTTTGGTGGAGCAATTCTAAATTATCTTTTCATTTTCTTCAGGATCTATGGGCTTACCTGGAATTAGTAAAGAAGGATATCCAGGAAAGCCTGGTGCACCTGGAAAGGCTGGAAATCCTGGAAAATCGGGAAGGCCTGGGCCTCCAGGTCCACCTGGGATATGTCATCCGTCTCTGTGTTATGGAACAATTGGAGGAAGAGATCCCTTTAGAAAAGGACCAAACTATTGAAGCTGTATCATCAACTGTATTGTATGAATGAACTTGGAATGAGTTTATGATGGATATAACTAAGTCTGGTGCTTATTATATTTAAAATCTTAAAAGAAGTCTCAGGATAATTTACATGAGAGTACCCATGTTCTGCTTTGTCAAACAACTTTTACTTAGGCATTTCTAAAATAAGACTGTCGACTGTTTAAAAGAGGTCTATAGTTACATATACAATACTAGTTTTTACTCTACTTTTTGTATCATTTACATCGTTTGTATTTGTTATTTAACGCTATGCTTAAAGATGGAGAGGTCAGATATTGTAGCGTGTATTAGTGAGTTTGCTGTACAACATGCTTTGATTTGCTAGTATCTGTTGTTTTTTTAAAATCTTGATAATTTCTTTAGTGTGATGTACTGCACTATTACATATTTTAGAAAATTGAAACAGTTAAGTTAATACTGCAACAGGTATCAAACGTTGTAAAGATGTTTGAACAAATTAATTCTGTAACTTCTTTACAAAATTGTCTATGTCCTCTGTCTGAGATACTTACTAAAAACAGAAAAGATATCACATTGTCAAATTTTCACCTTGCATTCAATGTAACAAAAGTCAAATCTGAAACAATCACAACAATTGATGCAAGAGGTGTAAAAGCTGGTTATTGGTTGGCAAGTTGATTCTGTGTGGCCAAAGTATTGCCATCAAAGTCTACTAGCCAATCAATACCCTTTTATCCCTGTGGTATAAATTGTTGTGATCATATAAAATTTAACATTAATGCTTTTGTCTTGATAAATGCAGTATGAATAGCTTCAACAACATGTCTCTCTTTTCAGCAATGTTCAGGTTCTGTATGATCAAGCAGTTGTTCAAGTTTAATAAAATCACAATTTAATTATTTTCATTTGTAGTTTATGCTTTAGTGACTTCTAAAAATATTAAAGTCCAGTAATGCCATCTTCTGTTTTGGAAATTGTCCTCATTTACCCTATCTTTATTTGCTGTTTTTCTGTACATTTGTAAAGCCTTACTAAAAATTAATTTTGTATGTTTTGAAACTAAACATCAAAATATAGTTCAACTAGGATTTACTTTTATTGGGCTGCTTTGTTACCATTTAAAATTTACTGTATTTATCGTGATTTTGTATGCTGGTACTGTTTCCATGGAACTTTTGCCAAGAACCTTGTTTGGAGAGAAATGATTCCACCATTGCAACTGAGTTGGTGAACAATAAATATTAGTCTACAATTTAGTTACACAAAACCACAAAATGGTTTATCTATCTTAAAATTAGCCCATATATCATTTGTTTCTATGGTAGTTTTCAATAGGGTCTAGGATTATAATTAATTGTCCAGACATCTCAATTTGCTGCAAATACATCTGTCAATTTATCATTTTCACGATTAGTGGAAACTAGCTTCAAGATACAGTTTATTATCTGTGAACACAAAGGCACGAAAACTACAATGGAAAACTTTTTATCCTCTGCTGACTACCAGAAATTTTTATAGCAGTTTAATTAATGCTTATTGGAAGACCTAGGAACAGCTGCATTCTTGCTTTTAAAAATATGGTAATGAAAAATAAGTATCAGTAAAATTATTGTATTGTTTCTACTCATTCTTGAGCATCTCAATGGCTGCCAAAATATGGCAGATGTTTTTGATTTTTATTCATTCACAGGATGAGGGTGTCACTGATTAAGGCAGTGTTTATTGCCCATCCCTAACTGGCCTCTGAAATGGCCTAATGGGGCTTTTTTTCCCTGGAGCACTGGAGGCTGAGCGGTGACCTTACAGAGGTTTGTGAAGACATGAGAGGCATGGATAGGGTGAATAGCCAAGATCTTTTTCCTAGGTTGAGGGAATCCAAAACTAGAGGGTGTAGGTTTAAGGTGAGAGTGAAAAGATTTAAAAAAGACCTGAAGGGTAACTTCTTCACGCAGAGAGTGCTGCATATTTGGAACAAGCTTCCAGAGGAATTGGTGGAGGCTGGTACAATTACAACATTTAAAAAGCATCTGGATGGGTATATAAATAGGAAGGTTTAGAGGGATTTGGGCCAAATGCTGGCAAATGTGACTAGGTCAGAGTGGGATATCCAGTTGGCATGGATGAGTTGGATCAAAAGGTCAGTTTCCATGCTGTATGACTCTATGACTCGGTATAAATATTGTGGCTACAAGAGCAGATCAGAGGCTAGGAAACCTGCAGAGAACAACTCATTTCCCAACTCCCCAAAGCCTGTCCGCCATCTACAAAACACAAGTCAGGAGTGTGATGGAATACTCCCCATTTGCCTGGATGAGAGCAGCTCCAACAACACTCAAGAAGCTTGACACCATTCAAGACAAAGTTGACTTGATTGACATCACATCCATAAACATTCGTCCCCTCCACCACTAATGCTCTGTAGCACCAATGTGTACCATCTACAACATGCACTCCAAGGCTTCTTAGACAGCACCTTCCAAACCTATAATTGCTACCATCTAGAAGGAGAAAGACAGCAAATACATGGGAACACCACCCACAAGATCCTGCCTCCCCCCGCCACCAACAAGAAACTCATTATCGAGATTTGGAAGCACCTTTCCTTCAGTGTTGCTGGGTCAAAAATCTGGAACAGTCTCCCTAAGGGCATTGTGGGTATCCCAACACCAAATGGACTGTACCAGTTCACGAAGGCAGCTCACTGCCACCTTCTCAATGGCAACTAGGGATGGGCTCTAAATGCTGACCCAGACAGCAAAGACACATCCCGTGAGTGAATTAAAAAACTTCTGGTTCAGTACAGCTTTCTGTCGACCTGAGCCTGAGGATCAGGTAAATTGGAGAGCATTGGAAACTTATTTAAAACATTAACTTTTGTGACTACTGCGGAAATAGCAGGGCTTGATTTCTAGCCCAGTGACTCAATACGTGGCTTTGCTTCAAAAGTAGCCCAGTTCTAAGAATCCCAGCAGGTTTGGCAATAATATATGTTTCTGCAGTTGGTGAGCTCATGATAATATGAAGGGATGCCATAGAGATATGATGCATAGCTAATAAGGCATGCTGCAAAGACCTGTGTGAGATAACTTGCTAGTGCTCACAGTGAGAAAGGCTCCGTGAAACTCCCTGAGATTGATACAGTCATCTTTTAGTAAGATTCAACCCTCGATCACATTTTGGTAAATTTTCTGATGCTGTTCTTCTCCATTATTTAATAAGGTGCTAGGGACATTATGGATATAGCAAGTTAATTGTATTATTATGCAAAAAATACATTTTCTAAAATGTTCATATTCTGCATAACTTACTTCTAGATTTCCAACTCAATTGCATGGTATGTTGCCTCCCTGGTGCCATGGTCAGAGATGTCTCAGAGCAGCTGCAGGGCATTCTGAAGGGGGAGGGTGAACAGCCAGAAGTTGTGCTACATGGCAGCACCAACAACATGAATAAAAGAAACAAGGTCCTGCAACAGGAATTTCGTGAGTTAATTAGTAGATTAAAGAGATTGTATCTTCCAGATTACCACACACTACTGAATATAGGAATAGAAAGATAGGCTAGATAAGCTCATAGCTAAAGGGATGATGTATGAAGGAGAGCTTTAAATTTTTGGATCATTGGGACAGCTTCTGGGGTAGGTGGGACCTGTACAAGCTGGACGGGTTGCATTTGAACTGGAATGGGTCCAATATCTTTGCTGGGAGATTTGCGTGTGCTGTTGAGGAGATTTTAAATTGATTTGGCAGGGGGATGGGACACAGATGTTGTAAAGTCAGGAACGAGCTCCAAATAGATATAGTAGGAATGTTAGAACAGTACAGTAGGCAAAGAAGACATGGGCAGGATAAGACACATGAGAGATCTAGAAAGCTAAATTGGATCTATTTTAATGCAAGGACCTTGAGTAGTAAGGCAGATGAACTTAGAGCATTGTTCAGCACATGGTAATCCAATGTTGTTGCAATCACTGAGACATGGTAAAGGAAGGGCAGGACTGGCAGCTCAACATTTCAGGTGTAATTGGGGAGTGTTAGGGATGTATGAGAAATGGGGGCATTGCATTGTTGATAAAGGAAACCATCACTGCAGTAATGAGGGAGGACATCCTAGCAGGGTCTTTAAATCGAGCCATCTGGGGAAATAGGAAAGGGGAGATTACCTTGCTGAGATTATACTACAGGCCTCCCAACATTCAGAGGGAGATAGGGAAGCAGATAGGCAAATCACAGAAAGGTGTGATTTCTGTGGATCATTTTAGTGTGAAAGGATTGGATGGAGTGGAATTTTTAACATTCATCCAGGCGTGCTTTTTTTGTGCCAGTATGTAGATAGTCCTACTAGAATTGGAGCAGTGCAAGACTTAATTCAATCAAGCTGGTCAAGTGGTTGAAGTTTCAGTGGGCGAGCATTTCAGATATAGTAACCATAACTCAGTAAGTTTCAAAGTCATTAAGGAAAGGGATAGGATAGTGCAGAAGTTAAGTGTCTGAACTGGGGAAAGACCAATTTCAATTTCATTAGACATGATCTGGCAAACGTAGACCGGGAGCAACTACTTGCAAGTAAGTCTACATCTGGAAAGTGGGACTCTTTTAAAAGTAGCATAGTGAGAGCTCATGACTAGTCTTTTCCTCTAAGGGTGAAGAGTAAGGGCAACTAGTCCAGGGAATGTTGGATCAGAAGAGATATCAAGTGTTTGATAAAGAAAAAGAAGGAAGTGTATGTCAGGTACAGCACATTAGAAATGGGGGTGGGGGGCCTTCAAAAGTATAAACAGTATAGGAGGTTGCTTAGAAAGGAAATTAGAAGGGCAAAGAGGTGCCACAAAATATCTTTGACAGATGGGATCAAGAAAAACTCCAAGGTATTTTTATAAGTATATTAAGAATAAGAGGTTTTTTAGGGAAACAGCGTGACTTATTAGAGATCAAAGGGCAACTTTGCATGGAGCCAGTGGGCATTCAATGAATACTTCTCATATGTATTCACAGAGGAAAAAGACATTGTTGCTGGGGATGGTGAGATTCTAGAACATATTACAATTAATAACAAGGAGGTATTAGATATTTTAGCGAACAAAAAATTGAATAAATCCCAAAGGCCTGATGTGATTCATCCCGAGCTGTTATGGGAGGCAATGGAGAAGATTGCTGGGGCCCAAGCAGATATATTTATGGGCAAAGTGCCAGATAACTGAGGATAGCTAATGTGCGTCCTTTGTTCTATAATTACTTGGCCTATCCCTGCTACTCTTCCTGAACAAAGGAACCACATTAGCCAGCCCCAGTTATCTGGCACTTTGCCTATGGCCAACAAAGTAATAAATATATCTGCTTGGGCCCAAGCAATCTCATCCATTGCCTCCCATAGCAGCTTGATGAGATATATCCCGAGCAGCTAATGTGGTTCCTTTGTTCAGGAAGGGTAGTAGGGATAGGCCAAGTAATTACAGACCAGTTAGTACTATGTCAGTGGTTGGGAAGCTACTGAAAAAAGTTTTGAAGGACTGGATTAATCAATACTTGGAAAAGCGGGAATTGATCAGGGATAGTCAGCACAGATGTGTTAGAGGGAAATCCTCTAATATAGTGATTAACACTGCTGCCTCACAGCACCAGAGACCCAGGTTCAGTTTCACCCTTGGGTTGACTGTGTTGAGTTTGTGCAATCTCCCTGTGTCTGTGTGGGTTTCCTCCGCTTGATCTGCTTTCCTCCCACAGTCCAATGATGTGCAGGTTAGGTGAATTGGCCATGGGAAATGCAGAGATAGGGTAGAGGGACCTGATCTGGGTGGATTGCTCTTTGAAGGGTCAGTGTATACTCAATGGGCCAAATGGCTTGCTTCCACACTGTAGGCATTCTAACTAAATTAAGGTTTTTGAAAAGGTAACTAAATATATTGTTGAGGGTAATTCATTTGATGCAGTTTATATGGACTTCAGTAAGGCACTTAAC